TAATGTATCATTGAAGATCTATACATCGAGCAAATACTTGACAGAATCAAAATGTTTTCGTCAATATCTTGAATTACTTAAGACTCCCCTCTCTGCTCGGTAATGCTTGGCTTTCAAGGAGGATACAACCGATCCGCATAAAATTTTTACCAGAGATAGAGCGCCTAAAATAAAGAAACATTTTCAAGGAAAAAAAGTTTTAAACAAGGTTGTCTATAGGACCGCATCGAGACCACTTACGACTCCCGTCTGATCTTGTCCGATCGGACTGAAATTTTTTCAAATTGCCCTAGACCATATATATCGTAGCTAGTTTTCAAGTTTGTCAAACATCTGGTTTTCGGTTTCTTCTAGAGATTTCTATGGGAAGCTCAAAAACGAAACTGGTCAAATTGACTTCTAGAGAATACATTCAAGTATCTGTTGTTGAAACTTTTGCCTGATTATCTTGTTTCAAAACTTGTTCTCCAAACATATATTTTCTTATTTTATGTGCTCTACCTATAGTAAAAATGATATGAAGATCGATTGTACTTTTCTTGAGAACCAGAAATAGCTCAAAAAAGAGGAGAGTATCTTTAAGAGTGCTAGTTACTTATCTTAAGTTCATGCAGATACTAATAAGATTGACGAAATATTTACACTTCTAGTGAATAATGATAGAACACGCTGATTAATGAAACTAATTGCTTTTTGCATTGTTTACTCTTTGTTTTTTTTACCTCGAGTAAAGCATAATTTGACTTCACCATAAGCTCCACGTCCAATTTCTTTGGAGATAATATATTTGTTTCGAACAATAGCTGGAATGGACGAATCTTCATGAACATTTGCATCAATATAAACATAGACTCGATGTGTTTTTGATGCTAATGCAATTTCTGCATTATTTTCTAAAATATGTCGGTTATTTTTTCCAATTTTTTCTCCATTTATATATGTTCCATTTGATGATAAATCAATAATATAAGCATATTTCGTTGTTTCATCACGAATAATTTGAAAATGTTTTGATGAATAAGCAAGAAAATATTTTGATGTTTGAATTTCATTTGAATTCAATACTATTGTACATGTTTTACCACGACCTAATGTATATTCATTATCTATTAAATCAATTGATGAGAAAAGTTTATTTATTGATAATAATCGACCCCAGATATTTGCATGACTATTACAATTTCCATCACCTTCTAAACCATCCGCAATACCATCAAATCCTTGTGTTCCTTGTGTTGGTACACTTAAACTCTGAATAAAAAAAATAATTAGAAGAAGAAAAAAAGATCTTGTTTTATCATCTAACCATTGGTATAGGTTCACTCATGATGGTAACAATGATGCTTATGCACCATAAAATTGTTCTCGCTTATTCTTTAAAAAGAATGCAAAACTTCTATTCAACATGAGTCAAGGTTGCACCATAACGTATTTTTGAGTAAAACACGGGTGCAAAAAAATACCAATGAAATGACATTCACAGAACAATGAGTGACATCTAGTTTTGATGCCTAAAATGTTAAAGATAGTCAGCTAAATATATAAATCTGTAGATTTTCAATACTTAAAGGTAAAGATCTAAATTCATATGCATAAGACAAAATGTGTTTTATAAGTTTTTTTCGAATTAATCGTATCTTTTTCATAAATCTATTATATGTTTTAACGAAAACAATAAATTATTAAATACTGTTGTCACTTATTGCCTCAATATTTGTATCGATTTTCCATAATTGACTTATGATATTATTAGAAACTTGTTGAACATCGACCTTTTCTAGCCAAATCTTCATAATCTTTGTATTGTTATTTTTCTTTTTGCTTTCTTTAGCTATTAATCGTGCTCTATTATTTTGTTATTTATTTTTACATATATAAATTTGATTGATGTGAAGCAATTTTTTTTGTCACCTTAGCTATGAATAGAGCATATTAGTTGATTTCTTTTGTTATGTGTTCATTTAGTAATCATCAACTGATATCTTATTGTTTTTATCACAAAACCAAGTTACCGCAAAAACTTGAGTTGGACTACTCCGAGTACCACTAATATCGGACTTGCGCTTGCCTACCTCTGCATATGAAACTCACTTTCAACTGTTACATATTTTGTATTTTCTGATTGCATATCATGGATTTCATCTAATAGTAATACTCGTCGCATGTTATGTAACTTTATTTAGTTTTTTTTTTCGAATCTATCGAGCTTATTTGTCAATACTTATGCGATTAACTGTATTGCGTTGTAGTCTATTTATTGTCATCGTTTTTTTATCTATTGTTATATTAGTCTATCAAGAGCTATATATATATATCATTCTCAATAGCTCAACAAAGTTTAATGACTTTATAACTTATTCAATTTTCTTTTTTTATTATAATACAAATTCCGTATAGTATTATTAACGAGAATAACTTCAAATGTGTATAAATCTTCAGAATAAATTATGATTGAAAAATTTTGTTTCACTATTCGCTGAGTATATTAGTTTATATAACATGTTTCATTTTCTTTCGGTATTTTATATACAGGTGTTTGTAAAAAAGAAACTTGTACAGCAATAATTCTTATTAAAGATTTTCTTGCTATTCCAAGTAATGACAAACGTAGGTTTTTTTAGAAATGAATCTTCAGTAGCTATACTAAATAATAGTTAGACAGAGCTACAACTGTTCTATTTTAGATACATGTATAGATCATCAAGTGCAATCGTCATGTATCTCGATTATATCATCGGAACAATAAATATTGCAGGATCTAGTTCTTTATTTATCTTAAAAACAAATATTCTATTAATTTACTTCAAATATCAATCAAGTAAATGAGTTTATCTATTGGTTGAATAATGACAACAAGTGATAAAATAAACGTTAGAAAGTTAATTCATGAAATATTATTGAAATTAAAATGTGTTTTCTAGTATAAACTCAAATGCTATTATTATGGTCTTTATATAATGTTGCTATACTTGAGAATGATCCAGTTTTTTTCTGTTAAATATAAGAAATGAACATTAGCACATAGTTTATTAATTATTTCAATAAAAATGATGTGTACAGCAAACGATAATGACATAAGATGTGTCAGCCTTATTATGAAATAATTTATCAGCATAAATATATTACAAACAGTGATAATATAAGCTAATATTTCTATGTTAACGCAATAGAGAATCTTTAATCAATCATAAAACTCAATGTTCAAAAAGAAAAAAAGTCGGAAAACAATGATGAACTCGAAGGTTTCCTCTTGGATGAAGAAACTAAAACTATTATAATTTATCTTGTAAACAAATGCGTCATGTCTATGAAAAAAAGATGATCAATTCTGTTTTTTTTTACATAGGATTAACTGAATTATAGCCTATCAACAACGACAAAAAATAGTTTCACAAAAACCTATAAATAAGGAAATAATGGTAGCTGCGCGCAATTTTCTAGGCATCTATATCATTACTAATATTTTGTCAAGATTTAAAAGAGCTTATCTTATGCCATTCTCATCATGTATGAAGAGCGCTAATTGTGCAAAAACAATTCTACTAACTAAGATATTTTATATGGTAAATTTATAAACTTGGCATGTATTTGTGATAAACAAGAATATACAATTCAATGATATTTTAGTTTATTACTATCACTTATTCATGTAGAATGACATAAGAAAAAGTTAAAAACTATTTTGATACCTTTTCGCACAACTTTGATTTTAAATATAGAATGACAGAGTGATTTGTTAGTCATATTTATTTGTAGATTTTATATTAGCTATAGATCCTTTCGAAAAACAGATTGTCATTCATACATATCTCATAAGGAAAACCCTCAAACTGTTCAATCGCTTTTGAGGAGAGATCATGTGAGTTATGTAGATCCGCATAAGCGATGAATAACTCCTGTCATTAGCTTATGGCTACAGAGATATTGCAATTTTAAGATACTTTTTAAATAAATGGTTTGGTAGCAAAAGAAAGTAATTTTCAAATTTCAGATCTTGTTACTGCTTCTATCCAAAGACACAATTATGGTAATAATATGGCGTTGACATCACTCATGTAAATCAGCATATGTCAAGTTCTTATTTCAGAACTGAAACAAATCAACAGATCTGAAACTGAAACTGGTTTCGTTATGGCCTGCCTTCATGCAACATTCAAAGTCGAAATTCGAAAATCAATTCTCTGTTATCACGGCATTTTATTAAACAAATACCGTAAAAATACATTTTATGCGTAGCAATAAGCTAACGGCACGAACTCTACTCTAGTTGTTCATAGTTTGCTTGGATCTAAATAACGCACATAGTCTAGTCTAAAATCAATTGAATAGTTGGAGGACTTCCATTGTCAGTGTTTATACCGTATGAAATCCGTTTTCTGATTATTTCAATATATTGGCCTTCATATTATTTTTAAGCAATGTTTGTTTCGTCTATAATCAATTAAATAAGATTTTTTCAATAAAATACTATCGGTAAGTGCGATAGCTTCTGTATTCATGCATATTAAGGATTCATGATATCAGGAAATAAAAATCAGACTAGAGTAGAGTCCGTCGGATCCAAAACTTTCGAAACCAGAACCGACTTCAGTTGATCAAACGTTATCGGATCTGGACCTCGCCCCGACGAGCTCTAGACCAGAAGCAGTAAAACACTAAAATGAATGTTTTTTTCTATGTACTAATAGTTGTCCTTTATACCAATGCGTTACGCTACAATTATCTTTTATTCGAAGAATCTACGAACGAGCAAAAAGATTTGAAACCATGTAATCCTTACTCTAAATTTGAAAACACCACAGTCTAGTTCTCCTCCTGTTTCTTTTTTAATTTTTTATGGGAGTAAAAAAATTTTAGAACTTATGTGTTTCATAAATTAATCAATTAAAATCAAAAATTAACTTTTATATTATTGGGCAGATATGGTATTCAAACAAAGCATACTTCAATGATGTATAGCAACAAAACGAACACAGAAGTATTTCAATAGATAACTTTTATTATTTGTTTTCACCAATGAGAATATTTTCAATTGCTTGAATAACACGAACACTGCGTGGATCGATAGTAAAAGCAACAGGATCAAGTTGATTGCAAACATATGCATAAGCCAATTTATGTGGAGGAAATGCAAACGCACAACTACCACCATAACCTATTTCAAATACAAATAAATATATTATTCATACTTTGATAAGATCAAACAATTAGCAAAAGTTTTTTTTTTTCAAATTCCATTGAATTTCTTCATTTTTCGGCAAAGAAAGTTATAAATTCGGAGCTAGATTCGTAAATAATTCTTACCAGAATGACCAAAGACACCATCGCCAAATACATTAAAATAATCATTATATAATTGAAATCCACCCTTTCCAAAAGTTGTTGGCATATTATACCAATTTTGATCAGGTTCGCCTGTTGGAGTTATATTTTTAGTTGCTTCTATGAGAGTTTTTTCACTTAAAAGACGCTTTTGTTTCTTCCCATTTTCATTGATATCGCCGATAAGTAAAGAATAAATACGAGCTAAAGATCGAGCATTTGTAATTCCATTCACAGAAGGCATTTCCGCTTGATGAAGTCGAGTTCCATTAAATATCATTAATGATCTTCCCAAAGGAAAAGCACCACTACATGATAATGATTTCTCAGTTTGTGAATCTATTAGACGTGCATTACTTGTATCAACCTTGAATACAAAAACCTTTACCTATTTGATGTATGAATCAATTTACTTGTTTACGAGTGACAGGAGAAATACGTGCTTCAACTTCATCATTAGGTATACCCACATAAAATTCACTATCTAATTCATCACGGACAAATTGACCATACGTACGATGATGAGGATCAGCACGACGAACTAATTCACCACCAGCATATCCTATTGTATGACCATGATATCCATGAGCTGTTCCAGGTGTCCAATGAGGTTTTTGTGTAGCTAATAATGACGTCATTCTAGACCAGTTATAAGTATCTTCAACTGTAAGTTGTTCATCTATAAAAGGTAGACCAGCTCGATACGCCAATAGATCACAAAGTGTAATATTCTTAAAAAAAAAGTGATACTGATAAATATTTTTTACAAATAATTTCTACCTATTTTCCATTACAAGCAAATTCTGGCCAACATTCTGAAACACGTGCATCATAATCAAGCCAACCCCTTTCTACACATAATGCTATAGCTGCAGCTAATATTCCTTTGGAAGTTGAAAACACTAATTGTAATGTATCTGACGTATAAGGTTCTTTTTTTGTTTGTGTATCTTTCCAACCGCCATATAAATCAATAACACATTCTTCACGATAATAGATGCATAAACTTGCACCGATATCAAGTCCATCGACTAAATTTTGCTTGAAAGCAGAACGTATACTCTCCCAACCATGTGCTACATATCCATATACGTGACTGTTATCGTCATTATCCATGTAAAAAAAGGCTAAGAATCTGACTAAAATCAATTTTCACAAAAATAATTGCAAAAAAATCGATTAAAGGTATCATGTTTCGATTAAATTCGATGTAACATTTGGTTATAATTGATTTCTCTCAGTAAAAATCGATTAAAATCGATTTTTTTTATCAAGGAATCAAAATAACCGATAAAAGCCTATTTGAGTTTAATCAATTTTTCATAGGGAAATCTCTTGAGTCGATTAAAAACCAAAGCGATTTTAATCGATTCTAAGAATAATCCATTGTGATCTATTTCATTGGCAGTAACCCAAATAATTGATTAAAAATCAACTCGATTTAAATTGTTTTTCTGTAAAAACCGATGAACAGTAATGAAAAATCACAAAGTGTCTCAAGATGGGTCGGTCGGCTCCAGAAATTTTCAAACTTTTCACAAGAATTGTTGAGTTTCTTCTTGAAATGAGACGCTTCTATATTACATGCATAGAAAATGCAGAATTGTCAGTTTCAAATGAGGGACTGAAATCACTACAGTTTTATTTTGGCTCTGCCTTTATGAACTTAAATCGTTTTTTTTTCCGATAAAATGTAATTGAGAGATTTATAATATAATAAATAAAGCTGAGCTTTATGTTTATACAGTATAATAGATTCTGTTATGGAGAATATATTAAAACAGGTTTCCCTGTTTAGAATCTAAACAATTGATTGAAACCGATTTTCGTCAAATCGATGAGAGTGTATTGAACGATTTTTTTTGAATAAAATTAATTAAAAGAAGTTTAAATTGATATGAACTATTAATAGGTAAGAATATGTGAAAATTGATAAAAAAGTAAGAATAGTTGACAGCTAAATGGTAGGTACTGATGTATTAAAGTGGATGATTTGATGAATAACAAATTAGAATTGATTCCTATGGATCAAAAAACATCAGGATTTAATCGATTTTGTTACGGATTATTAATCGATTAATAATCCGTAACAAATCGATTGTAATCAAATTTTTTTCACCGGTTTTTACATGGATACCCACGGATGACCTTATCGCGTGTGTATGTTTACAATAATAAGGCTTTTTGTTTTTTATATCAGCATATAATCGGATGCTTATCATCTATTTCTTTTTCGTTAATAGATAAATAACGAAGACAATAGTATAAACTATTACGTAATCTTCGTCTCGATTGATTAAGTACACATTTTTATTAATGCGCAAATAGTGATCTAAATCATTGTGGCTCTTAAAAGCTGATGTATTAAAATTATATCTTCTTTTTAATAATATTAAAATAAAATGTTTTGAGATAAAAATTATCAGATTGATAGCATCAATCAAAGATGGAACCTGTACTGATAGAGGTTTCAGGGCAGCCGATGTATCTTATTAATTCTTCTACTCTTACGATTGAGCATTCTCCAGATGAATGGCTTCGTCTACCTTTGCATTATGCCTACATGTAGGCCCAATTATATCAGAATACCCTCCAAATAGTTTGTGCTCTTATTGAGATTTGACCAAGAATTACATGTTCGAATTTCGACATGAAATTTTATTAACCTGACGACTTCACTTAGACTAGCTCAATTAAAAAGTTTCATCATTTTGGAATATTGTATCTCCGAGATTTTCGTTAATAAATTGATCATGTTCCAGATTTATTTGATTCTCTTATCATAAAAAGACTAAAGACACATTATCCAGCTATTAATTCTAATAGATCATTCATTCTTTCGAAAACATAGAACTCGACGATGTTTGGATTTTATCTATTGTTTTTTCTTTTCGTTCGTTCGTTCGTTCGTTCTATTTATTCTATCATATGTTATAAACTTTCATATCCAACTAATAAAAGAATGACTATAAACAACAGTACTATATCAATATTTCAACGTCATTATCATAATCAAATTGAATCGATTAATGAACCAACAGCTTTAAATAATTTAGTATCAATAGATTATAATTATGATCCTAGTGGTGCTGCTTATTTTATGATTATTGTTCTATTATGGTATTCCATAAGTGTTGTTTTTATGTTGGGAATGAAAATTCGAACTCGTACTGAAATCATTGAAGATTGTATACATCGTCGAGTAAAATTATTTATTAAAACTCTTCGAGATCAAACTCAGACTAAACAAATTCTTGGTATAAGTTCTTTGTATTTTACAAAAGGAAAAAAATCTATTTAATAAATCAATCTTTTATTTTAAGAAGAACTTGTTGATAAACAAAAACGTAATCAACTTTGGAATATTTATTTCGGTAAAACATATAATAAGAAACATAAATTAAAACATGCAGAAATTCTTCGAATAAAAAATATTAAAAAACAATTAGCTATTATTAATCATAATCGTATGATTATAAATGATACATTTATATCTCCAATTGTAAATTCTTGTACTCGTCATCGATTATCAATGAAAAATCAAAAATGTATTCGACGTCGTTCATCATTGGATCGACAAATAATTCAACGATGGAAATCAACTATTGATCAAAATAAATCATATGAACAGCAAATACCATGGACTATTAAAAAAGTACTTATACGTCGTTATTTGAGACGATATTATCAAAATACATCAATGACTACACCTGCAATGGAATCAGTACAAGCTCATCAATATTTACAAACGATCGATGATGAACAATGTCATTTTTTATCAGCACATAAAAAAATTAATAATAATTCATGTCAAATAATAAGAAAAACAAATGAACCATTAAATGCATATATAACTTATTTTCAATTACCAATAAATGAAAATCTTAAGACAAATATTCAAAATTTACCACATATTACTGTTAAGTCAAATCATCATATTATTCAAATGAATCATGATGAAGTTTAATGCTGGTTTTTTTTAAATTATGATTTGCATTTTTGTAACATTTTTCTAAATACTAAATAAAACAATTTTTATTAATTAAAACAGTAAAATCTTTTATATTATAAATGCTTACAAAAACAGTTCATTTTCTCTAACCTAATAATGCAAATCCTATTAACTAAGTTATCGTGATCTCAGAAGAATTTTCATTCATAGTAAAGTAATCCAATCAGGAGATTAGTTTCCATCAATAGGTCTTAGAGTTTTTGGAAGTAGGAAATTGAGGGGCTCTCTAGATCCATGCTCTGCGGTTCGAGTTCAGTGGTTCCGACAATTAACTGGAACAGAAACTATTGAATCATCAGATATAGATACAACAATCTCATGTCAATTTTGAGAAATCCTTAATTTCAAGAATGAAAAAATGAAGATTTCTCGACTTAAATTTACAAGTTTTTGTATCTATCCGATAACTGAACAGTTGTGGTTTCAAGAAATTTTAAAAAACTCGGTTCTGACTGCCAGTTTTTTGCAACTACTGAGCTTTATCGACTAGATCTAGGTCCTCAAAAGAAGTGGACATGTAACTCCCTGTTTGAAGGTTTGTAAACATCTAAGTTGTTAGGTTAATATTATAAGAACTATATTATGTATTGATCAGAAGGTTTTCATGAATTTATTATCTTAGTATATAGTAGACTTCTCGTAAAATGATGAAAGCTCTGGTGAAATGACTTAAGTATGAATTCTTTTAGTCTTAAATGTGATATGAAGTTATCTTTCATGCAACGCTTCTCATCTCGTTTTTATTGATCGATCTCCTTCTTCTAATAATATCCATGTTCGAGTAAATTACGGTGTTAATGTTATGACGATGAACAAAATAGTATCCTTAAATCGTCGTTTTTCGTAATAGAAGTATAAAAAAACGAAGGGTTACGTCTCAGCGAAAGTACGTCGTATGAAATGAGATGAACCATTACAGCGAGCTACGATGAAAACTCATGCAGTAGACACGCGACTTTTATTTTTCGCTGATTACAATGTCGTTAACAGTTTCCATCATATGATTAAACTGCATATGGTATCATGTAGATGTCACTCTATACCACTTGAGACTCATTGACACGGTCAATTGGCTCATATTTAGATCTAATAGAATATTGGATGAAGAAATGAAAATGCATTAGCTAAACCAACTTTGAAAGCAATACGTAATATGAAGTTTATTCACTGGATACTGAAATGTACTCTGACAATACGAATGAGAGAAAATATGAGTTATATAACATCAAAATATAAATCATCTATTATATATATGATTACGCAACAATTTATTTCTAGATTATGTCTGTTCATTTGTTTAAACTCAAACGATATTTAACTCATGTTGATCAATGTGTTAGATATACGCCTTCATTAACTAAATGGCATCAAGTTTCAGTAAATTTTCAAGTGATTTATTCGTAATCTAATTTAATATTTTTCAGAAATTATTCAGCAATTTATCAAACGCAACATCTCCTCTTGTTCATCGTCTAAATACAGTTGTACCGAAAGGTTTTGAAAAATACTTCCCGGGTGGTGGTGGTAAAGGACCTCAACCAAAAGAACCAAGTATTCATGTTTCATATTCTTACAGTAAACTTATCATTTTATTTGTATTTAGGTGGAAGCCAACGTCCACCAGCTCCACCAAAAGAACCTACTCCTGGTGAACGACCACCGGAAGGTGGTCAACCTAGACAACCTACACCGGGTCCAAGTCCTGGTGGTCGTGGAGCACCCACTCCACCTTCATCAGGTGGTAGTGGTGGTGGCTGGCGTGGTTTAGAATTTAAGTTTACACCAGGTGATAAAAATTCATTTTTTAATAATCGTACAGGTCTTGCCATACTTATTGGTAGTGGCATAGCTGCTTATTTTGCATATAATAATACATTATATAGAGAAATAACATGGAAAGATTTTGTATCACAATATTTACTTAGAGGATATGTAAGTTAGCTTTTCTTTCAAGGATAAAAAAGAACTGATTAGTTTAAAGAAACTGTTTGTTGTTTTTTTTGGTTTTAGGTAGATAAACTTGAAGTAGTTAATAAGAAATGGGTTCGTGTAAGACTTCTTCCTGGTGCACCTGATTCAATGGTAAAAATAAATCTTCGGTTCC